CAACACTGCTCTGGGAGACTTTGGTGTTTGAATGAGCCCCAGTGTGCTCACTCATACAAGGGAGGATGGATCCATGCCTTCATGTTGTTTGGCAGCACATTTTGAACTTAAGAACTAATGCTCTTCTGCATACCCTGCTGGTCAGGTGGCGGAGTGAGTGTGAGTGTGCACTAGGATGCAGAATAAAATGTGTGAGCGAGACATGTCGAATAAAGAGCTTTGTGTGCTCAGGTAGAAAAATCACTAAATAAGAGTAATTCCATTTACCATGTTTTGGTTGTAACATGAGGTTATTTTAAGTTACCTTTACGTTATTATCAGTTTGAAGCAGTCTGACCATACTCCTCTGACATCTGACATCAATAAAGCATTTTCTCCACTCACTGGATATTTTCTCTTTTTCAGATCACTCTCTATAAATCCTAGAGATGGTTGTGCACCTAATAAAGTGGCCAGTAATTGCCTACTGCAGTTAGGATATCATTTTTTAGCTTCCGACTTGGCATATTGACGATTTAAAATTATGTACTGGTAACATCTAACAAATTATGCTATTGTTAGTAACAATGCACTAAAACCTAGTGTGAATATTGCATATATTCATATCCAAATCAATTCCCTGCTGAGGCTGAATCCATCTTTTATCAGATGCCAGCAGTCACACATCTGCTTTAAATCGCAGTACCCTGTGATTCCTGGAAATAGGGGAATAATATTCTTGTCTATGCATGATATCCAGTTTCCCATTCAGGCTTCTGCAGACCCCAAAAAACACTGCGACAATCCAGCACATAGCCTGAGTCAAGTAAGACTGCTTCATTCATTGAATGTACTGTCATGTCAAATTTATTTATCAGTACATATAAAGCAATAGCTGCGGACCAAAGTGCTGCACATCTAAAAAAACAAAAACAAAAACAGTGATATAAAACAACAGACTTAAAGAACATAGAATTAAAGCAAAAAGAGTAAAACAACATAGATAAATAACAGTCAGAATTCAGTCTGATCTAAAAGCCAAAGAATAAACATGGGAGATGCTGATGTGAAGACGCAGTTTGTTCCACAATTTCACCTCCTGTGTTTAATTAGGAGCTCGAGACAGGCAGACATTTGCTAAGCAGATCTCAGTGATTCAGTTGAAGTGCGCAGGGTGAAAAGATAAGCACTAACCCATACAGTGGCAAAATATAAAATCTTAAACTACATTAAACTAAAAAGCAGCCATCATATTACAAAGGAAGCTATTATGGATAATGTGCGGTTTACAATGTCCATCAGACACCTGTGCTTGAAAAACTGTAGCCCAGGTTAGAGGAGCAAACTAGTTACATCCGAACATCTGTTAATCAGCAGCAATAATTAATCACCACCTGATTGCATGTACAGGTTGTGCCTTTGGTCAGGATTTTGACAGAAAGAGGGGAGAAATTAATTTCTTTAATTTCACTGGGAAAAAAACATCAGTAGTTTCAGTAGCTAAGTGCACAAAAATGCCCAAAAAACCCAAAACATTAAGCTACATGAATAATAGGAATAATAGTTGCATATTATGTGTTACTTTGTTGGATTTAATTCAGTTTATGAAGTTCACTGAATAACATGTGATCTACAGCCACAGTTTTCTCCTTCACTGACTTCATGCTTTGCTTACTTATCCAAAGCCAAGTTGAAGTCACACCGACCTGTTGGATCACAATGCTGACAGAATATTTCAGCTTCCTTTCCATCTGAGCTGTAATACCCATTTATTTTGTATCTCCAGCTGCACTAAATCGTGTGTGATGCTTTTGCTGTTTGGCCTGTTGTCCTTTTATCCATAGCCAAGCTGGAATCACACTTTGCTCCTACTTCTCAGATCCAGAGGGGCCTTTACAAGCACGGGACAAGAGGCGAGGAGTAACCCCCTCGCCTCTGCTATGCAGAATTCAAGATTGGGCCCCCAAAATCTCTCAGGTTGACAGGAAATGTGGAATGAGTTTCCACATCAAATAGAGGACTGAGGAGCGGCGTTTGTGTATTGTGAAGGAAGGAGCGAGGACTGAGGTGACGGAGAGGAGGTCAGAGCGTCATTCACGCCTGAGTGTCAATCCTGATTTCTTAGAGGGGAGTGTGGACACAGGAGTGCAGCGTTTCTCTGTGTGCACACCTGAGTTTGTGAGGTATAAACTGAGGCATTCACACACAGAGAAAAAGACAGTTTGTGTATTGTGTTTTTTCCACGGTGAGGCCGGGAACACAGTCTGGGCAGAGGAGTGGGCAGGAGAGTGGAAAAGTGAAGAGAGCGACTACTCAGTGAGAAGAAAAGATGAATTCTAGATCGCCCTGTCAGTTTATGATTAGTAACAATTGAAGTACAAATGAAATGAGAAGAAATCTCCATTAATGTATTAATGTTCTTTGTAGATGGACAGATGATAAGAAAAAACACACACAAAGTCTCAAACAGCATTCACTAGATAACTGGAGGGTTGAACATCATCTGACCAGAAATATCATTTTTTAGGAGTCCACTTTGCATCTTTATTCCACCACCATCTATTGCAGCTTTTGCCTTTAGTTTGTATTTGTGAGCTGTCGTGCACTGTCATGCATCCATTCAAGTTGTATTATTAACCCAGCAGTGTAGTTGACCTTGCTGTCATACTTTAGTCAGTTTGAATTGGTCCGGTGCAATTGACCCAGATTTATAAGCTGTTGTTTCTGGCAACCCGCAAACAAACTCTATACTCTATTCGAAAATTAATTTAACATCTATTTAATAGATAGATAGATAGATAGATAGATAGATAGATAGATAGATAGATAGATAGATAGATAGATAGATAGATAGATAGATAGATAGATAGATAAAAG